GGTCTGGTGTCTTTGTGTTAAAACTGAGTTGCATTTCTATATCAGGCTGTAGGCTCAGTTGGACTCAAGAAAAGAAGCAGGTCATGGAAAACTTTCGCTGTTGTTTGTCGCTCCCTGCGTCGAGTCATAATGCACCTCTGTGAACTAGGAAACCTTCTGAGGCTTTTATGTCAAAATAGGTAGTTCGACTAATCTGCTTTATGTAATAGTAGCGCATAAAAATGTTCAGATTAATCGCATGCATTAACGCGTTAACATTGACAACCTGTTTAAATCTTCACACGTCTTTCCATAAAGTTCTGTACTGTCGTCAAACAGGAAAGCGGCTCGTTCAGACTCGGCTGTACTGGGTTGCATCAGCAGCAGAAGTGGCTGCTATAACCACCTCACTGGAAGTGCTAATGGTATTGACCACTTCAAGAGAAGTTAGAGAAGGACATTGCTGGAGCTGGCAGTAAACATCTCGAGACTGACAGGTCAGGGTGACTGCTGCCTTGATTGCTTTCATTACTCGCACATTGTCCAAAATCAGACCTGCCAGCCTGGGACTCAGTCACATCTGCCAGAATCTGCTCCGAGAATCCCATCCCATGAACAAATCGGGAAAAGTTTCGAGGAGTGATGTAACTGACAGCAATAAACCCCAGACAGATCAAACAGCTAAAGTACGATCTGATAATTACTTTCCCCTCTTTTCAGTTTGATCTTCTCTCCAAAGAAATAGTCAGTATGTAAACAACAGTTAATGCGGTTGTAATGACAGAGTCGCCTGCTGATGTAAGAAAACTGGAGCGAGGCTATTTACTATGATGGAAACAAAGACTCCGATATAATATTCATCATTCCTGCCTCTCCACTTTGGCTTTAATAAGGAGAAAAACAAACCCAATCAGCTGCAGATCACTGGTTTTGAACAACAATGTGATTGCTACATTATATCGAAAAACTATAAAACCATCATATCATTCATTAATGCAATAAAGGAGTAATTGCAAGAGAACAATGTGCGCGCGAGTCTAATAAAGCGTCTTCTGTTTCTTCTAATGTGGCATCAAAGCGATTTCATCAGCAAAGACACATTCATAAAATATGATGCTGCACAAAAAGAGCTTTTTCATTACCCTCCTCATCGTATATAGTTTAAACATTCATTACCTAAATCAAACATTCATTACCGTCTGCATTTACAAAGTAAGTAGACGTATCTCATGTAATTCTCTGCAAATATTGGGCTTTCATTAGATGCACAGCAGTGTTGCTCTGCTCCTACAGTTGAAATGAGTAACATTTTAATCATTTAGTAAAATAAACCTGCATGTAAATTACGGCTGGGACAGGAAGGTCTGGCTCTGAATGAGAGGGATGTCCCCCAAGGATATTTTATTGGGCATGAGTAATATTTGTGCAAATTAAAAACGGAAAACAATTTATGATAGGCGTTACAAAACTTTGTTAAATATGGATTCCCTCGTCCCGATCGGTGGAATCTACGTAACAGGGTCTAATGCTGCATGTAATTAATCTTCAAGGTGGCTTTTTAAAAAAACATATGTAGACCTTTATATTCATTTCACAACAAAAAACATAGAAATGAACAGAAACATTGAAAATGAAAGCATGTGTCAAATTGTGCTGAGTTTGGACTAAAATAAGAATTTGAATCAAACTAACTGCGTTCCCATTGACCACAATTGCGCAATTTGACATTTTAAAAATTAATTTGCTCAATCAATCAATCAATCAATCAAGTTTACTTGTAAACCATATTTCAGCAACAAGGCAGTTCAAAGTGTTTTTCATCATAATGGAAACAACAGTTTTGAGAAAACTGTGGTATTTTTGGACGCATCAAAATTGGTTTATTTTTATATTATGTTCTTTTTGCATCACTTGAATCACATGATCAACAACCAGACGTTGCCACTGGCGCAAACCATAAAGAAGAAGATGACTGGAAGTAGTTGGAGGACCATGGCAGTGGCATGTTTTCAATGACTTAACACATGAACAAACTTATTCATGTGTTATTTTAATTGCATTTGTTACTTAATGGAAACACCCCAATTGCGACATTGTGTTTTTGTGACACATTTTGACAAAGTTTTGCTCACATTTGTAATGAAAACACAGCTAGCGACATAAAAGGCCAACTCAGAAGGACGATCAAAATAAAGAATTTGGCTAAACAAAATTTACACAAACTAACTTCACCGTCTTCATGCTCAGAGGTTAGGAAGAGGGAAAAAGTGTTTCCTGGCCAGAAACTGCTCAGTAAGGGCTCACAACAGGAGCATCAGTGGTGAGAGAAGAGAAACCAGTGACCATGTTTCACTTTGGGTGCATGTTGCAGACTTCTACCTGCGTACCCCACATGCTTCATCTCATTAAAGGTGAACAGTGAAAATCCAGATTTAAACATTGAAGAACATGTCCATAGGTGTGCAATTAGAAAAAAACACTCCAAAAATAAAAATAAAAATGTAGCAGTAAACTCAAACTNAAGTAGCTGGCAAAACAAACTGCTTCACTGCAGCTGCAGGTGCGAACACGTTTAACCCTAAAGCAGCACCACCATGGAAAAGCTGGATAAGATCATGTTTTAGGTTCCCAAAGATGTACATCTTGACAAATTCTTGTTTGTTGAGTCAGGATTTTACGTTAATTACTACATATAGAATGGATGCACCAGTTTCTAAGGTTGCAGATCTAAGTGATTTCCAATGTACCTAAAACTGGAGCGTGTGAAAAATAAACACTGCAAAGAATTCTGTCAACTAGTGAGTAAATGGAAGTGAATGAAAGGCTCCTGTAACTCATAGCGACTCAAAGCTCTGTGTTTCATGCATCGATTAGCTACAAACAGGTCTTGCAGGGCATTCTGAAAAGAAAGAGACGGAAAAAAAAAAAAAAACAGCATACAAAGGTTCAGTTTCTTTCCCCTCAAAGCGTCTGACCCCTGAGACCGGACTTGACCACTGGCATGTATCCTGCACAGCTTCACCTGTCGTTACCCATCTTTATCTTGCACTCTGTCTGAACAAATCGCTTAGCTTACTCCTCCTCTACACCTTTACTGTCTCCAACAATTCAACTCAAGAACGCTGCGGGCAACTGTACAATTCAGAGTGGATAAGAAAAAAAATAACAAAAACACAGATATTTCCAGGACCATAAATGGGAGCAGAGTGGTTTATACTGCTTGATTATTATTTTTAAAGTGCACGTTGAGCTCAATGGCAACAGGAAATCCTGACACGTTTGAAACTATTTTCTGTTAACCAATGATTAGCTGGTTAGCAGCAATCTCTTTTTTGTTTGTTTTTTTTTGGTCGATGAATCACCAATACCTAGGCACAAACATGTTTCAGTAATAGCCACACGCTTCAGTCGGAAGTTGTAACGAAGCGACTGAGAGAGTTAACTAGTTTCAATATCAGTGAGGTGTTTAAAAATTGCACAAGGATGAAGTTTGCAGAAAGGAAACTGGGCTAACTCTGGAGTACGTCTTCCATTCATTAAGGCTCCCACTTCTGAACAGGCATAGATAATTCAGTGGACAACAGGAAGGCTAAATGTATCGCAGCAAAGTTTCTTTTTGTTCCTCTGAAAAAAAATCTGAAGAGTTGGAAAGGATCCGTCTTACCTGAGAAATACACAGTTTGGTGTTTACAGTTTCTAATGCTAATGCTAATTACTCTGTCTGTAATGGAGTCAGTGTCGTCTCCCACATACACACACCATTATAGACATATAATGTTTCGAATTCTGGCAATTATTTAATTTATTTCTTTGAAATGAATAGGAACTTTCTAAACCCAGCTTCACACTTTATAAAACCAGAAATTGGATTAGGCCATGAAGTTCTGATCGGTGCGTCCCACCCACAGTATTAACACATCAATCAACTGCATGTTCCCCAACTACTACCTGTATCAAGAAAACTAGAGAACTATTTCTGTTTTCTTTTATGGCCAGTGCCATATTTTGTAAATAAAATTAAATTTTGCTTAATTTTGAACAAGTAAAATGACAGAGGGAAAAAAAAAAGGAAAAATAATTTAAAAAGCAAAAAGTAGCACAATAGCAATTGAGCATAAAAAAAAAACAAATCTTCAGTCAGAGGTAGGAAGATATTAAATCCTATCCCCTGTTGTCTCATCCATATGTCTCACATTGTACAGATTTTACACATCTAAATTTTTACTCTTTCCTAATTATAACTGTACAATTAATTTCCACCATAATAGACATGTGAAAACTGTGATGTGCTTTTGCATTCGTGGCCAATTAATACATCCAACTGCCTTCAAAAGTCATCTAGTTAGAAATATTTTCTTGTCTGTATACAAACCTTAAAATTAAGTGAATAATAATAGTAATAAATGAAATCAGTTAAAAAACTTTATTTTCTAACGTCTATATCTGATACTAAAGTTTCTTTTTAATCTGAAACATCATACAAATACAAGGACAAATACTTTTATTGTACTTCTCTCTTTAGCAGGATGCTGTACAATATGAGTATATTAAAATAATACTTCATAGCCTGACGAAACTACTAGTTGGAGTCTGATGAATCGTTTCTCTCGCTACTAAAAAAATGAATGAATAATCCTTCCTCAGCAGAACCAGTTTATAGCATTCATCAAGGACGCTCTGGCTCTGAAGTTATAAATAACTCCTGCATGTTTCTATATAACAGCGTCTGCCTGTGCCTTATGAAGGTGACGTCTGGGCTTTCTGTTTGCTTTCTTGTGCAGATGCTGATGGCGTCTGAGGGAGAAACTGTGGTGCTGGGGGGGGGGAAAAAGTGATTTTACCACGGCGGGATTGTGAAAGAACAGAGTTGTGAAGGAAACCTTGTGTTAGAAATACAGGAGGATGGCAGAGAAACAGAAAAGAGGGGCTGAAATGAGGCAAATGGAGGCCACAGCAGTGATAGTAAAAGTAGGAGAGTAAGACACAGAGAGAGAAAGAGAGACAGAAGTCGAGTACTCCACCTTTCTGCAGACTCATGTCTACCATGCGAGGCTCAGCCAGCTCCAGGAAGAAGTTCTTGTTTTTCTCATACTCCTCATCGTCAATAATTTTCACGTGAACAAACTTGCTGCGAGAGGGGGGAAACGACAAAGGACAGGGTTTTTGCGAAAGGCAGGGGAACAGAAAAAAACAAAAGACAGAGAAGGGGAGGAGGGAGAGAGAAAAGAAGAGAAAGGTTAATTTGCGATGGAGGGACACGGGAAGTGCGCTGTAAGTTGGATTAATAATCAGCATGGAAGAAAGGTTAGACGGCGAACGGTCGGCTCGCTCTGCAGCAGGCCTGTCAGTCAGCCGTCAGACATGACATGTAGGGCTGCTAACCTGCGAGCTCATTGGCCGGCGCTGGTGTCATGACAACCACATTCATCACTGCATCCAGCACAAGTGGGACATGAGTAAAAACCCGTCCATGGCAGAGTGGACGGCAAACCAAAATGAACTGAAAACACGAGCTTCTAGTCAGTCTGGCTGTGAACGGTGTACAATTTATTTATTTTTTTAGTCACAAAAAGTAAATGCCACAGCGCCTTGCAAAAATATAATTTTCACACATCACAAAATATTTTGCTGGGATTTTTTACGCGGTAGAAAAACAGCAGGTGGCTCATATTTGTGAAGTGGAATAGAAATGATACATGGTTTCACTTCCTAAAATAAAAATTGAAAAGTGTGAGTTGATTTTTTTTGTGAACATTCTCAAAACCTTCAGTGAAGTCTTTTATTTTTACAAACTAATTTTACACAAATTTTCTCTGTTTGAAATCTCTATTTCAAATGTAAAACTAAAAGTAAAATGGAAAAAAAATAAAATAAAAAAAATAGGAATAATAAAACATTAAAAAAAAAAAACTTTTCATTTTCATTACGAAGTTCAAAGTTCCAGAGCATTACCTGTCATCTGTCCTGGTGAGTTTGGTTTCTCCATAGTTAAGCCAGTAGCAACAAAATGAAGCCTTTTTGCCAAAGAGGTGCAGAAATATAAAGTTAAGATTATAATAGCTACAGCTATCAGCTCTGTTCAATTTTGTCCCATTAAAATCAAGCCGTTGTGGCGCTAGTTGCATCTCCATAAATTGCGGCAATTGGAATAACAAAAATAAATTTCCTTAATAGAAATTTATTTTGAACACGAGATTTTGAAAAATCTCATGTTTTTTGATTTTGATTTGATACTTTAAACCATTCCACCTGTGCAAAACACCTGGGTGGACATAGCACTGCCTTTGAGGACGCAGCTCCTTCTCCACGACTCCCCCACTCAGCTCCTTCAGACTAGTCAGCAGCAATTAGCAAACACCTGGTGGAACCGCGCGTCTGCTGAGCTCATCATAGAAGCTACTTCTCAGTCCAATACTGGTAAAAATGCTTTTAGAGGGTTAATAGAGGAGCGATGTCTTGACTTTCTCAAGGTGGAAGTTTCAGAAAGAGCAGGAATTTTTAAAGAGACAGAGTCCCAATTTCAAGGCGTTAAATTATGAAGTCAAATTTCTTTAAAGTGATATTTGATAAATATAGCATTTGTATAACAACTGAAGGTAACATAGTTACTTTATCGTGGTGTAAAATGGCACCATGTGCCTGGAAAGCACTGCGCCTTTAAGGACATCGTGATAAAGTGGCCTGATCCCACCTCACAGTTACGTGCTACTTTGTGGTGCTTCCATTCCTCCGTCACGGTGCTTCCAGGCAGACTGATGGTTGGACACTGCTATTTTTCAACGCACAGACAAAGAGAGAAGTAGTTCATTGCAGGGTTTATGACTCCGGTTTGAGGAGAACGCTCCTTTAATGAAGCCAAATGTCTTGAGGGTGTGATGCCCTTCCTTTGGAAAAAGCGCTACGTGGAACATCATCACACAGAAACGGCTCAATATGGCACCGCGGCCCCAGCGGCGCTCTCGCCACTGATCGCCCCTAATTGATCTTTATAAAGAGCTATTGACTGGTCCGGGCGGCTAAGTGGTCAGTGGGTACCCTGATGCCTCAGCGGCGGCTCGCCCAATCACAGGGAGGCGGGGGGAGGGAGGAGGAAGGGACTCCTCGAGGAATAGCCTCGCTGATTTCAGCCGGACTCGTGCAAACGTTACATCACACGCTGTCGGTTGCAGGGAAATGAAAACAAACCCTAAATGAGTCATGACACTCTCTGCATCCGCTCTCTCAGGCTTCAGAAAGCACGCCCCGCGAGCATCAGACAAGCCAACAACAGCCGACAGTGGCACAGCAAGCCCTGGAAAAAGGGGATGACATACTTTATTATGCGTCTGACACCTCATGGGAGAACGCTTTTCCTGCTAATACAAGCGAAGGGAAACCGGATTTTTCTGCATGTTATTTGGGTGATGCATTTAGAAAGCAGGAGTCCCAGCTAATAAGATGAGTGGCCCGGCGCCATTCATTATAGATAGCCGCTCATCTATAATGAGCGGCTATTATAGATAGCCGCTCATTATAGATGAGCGGCTATCATCTATAATGAGCGTATAATGCATGCAAACATGCATTTGACGCATGTTTGCATGCGTCAAATGCAATTTGACGCATGCATTGAGTCAAAAAGCAGCTCATTCTCTGACTTTCCAACAGCGCACACTTTGTGTCGGTACCAGTGCTAATGCACACTTGGCTTACATTACTGAAACTTTTTGGAAAAACTGTACTTTTAGGGGTATTATTATTATTATTATTTTAACTATGCTGTGCTTTTTACATTAACTTGAATAATTTCAATATAATGCAGCACTACTCCTACTTGAGTAACATTTCTGGATACTCTACCCACTCTGAGTAACTTCACTGAATGAAGGACAAACTTGTTTTAACCCAACATTCACCAGACACAGACACACACCTGAGTCTTTGGTTAGCGTTTCATAAGTTTAGAAAGAAACTGTTTTGGAAAATATTTATTTAGCCTGATTTTGTTATTTTGTAATATTAATTATTTTCACTGGTTAAGAGCAAAATTTCCACATAACTTTATATTTTTGGTCCATTCGATAATGTCATTTTCAAAAATGAAATTGTTGTTTTTTTGATCTGGCCTTTTTACCAAATACCCTTTTACTCTTATTAAGGTTTTTGATGGGGACAAACAGACAGTAGACAAACTGTGTGTTTGTCTTCTGTGTGTCTACTGTGTGTAGACAAACACACAGTTTTTTTTTTTTTATAATTGTGGAAAAGATGTACAGCAGTTGAAATTCTGTCTCATGAATCCAGACAAAAGCATGCTTCACATAGTAAATCCTATTCTCTGGTTAAAATGTTTGTAGCTCAGGATGCGAGTGACCGTACGAGGGGAACTGTACAGTCTAACTGTCTTTTAACACACCGCGCACAGCAGAGCAATCCATCTTGCTTTCCCTCTCTTCACATCTCACCAGCGGGGCTTTCCTTTACTAGCCAGGCGACAAGTCTGCAGTGCCGGCTCTGCAGACGTGAACGGCACTTCGGTTTTCATCAGGACTGAGAAGAAGACGCACGGGAGTCTAATGGACTAATGGGATCTGGCGCACACACACACACACACATTCACACACCGCCTGCATGTTGTGGGGGGTTGACATCAGTGCACGCTAAAAGCAAACCACAGATGCAGCCTCACTATTAATCTATGACACTCCACTCTATGGAAAAACAACAGAAAAAAGCAATTAATTTAATGACGTAAGATGCTGCCTCTGGGCTGTAAGTAAGCAGCTGCGTCCAGATCTGTCATTTCATAGTTTTACTGTGACATCAGCTGGAAAAATGTACAAATATATATGTAAAAATCATCAGTTTAAAAGCTCTGAGCTGTTCAACTTTAGAAATCACATTAAACCCGACTAAATCTCCTAATTTAAGGTATTCAGTTGAAAGCAGGCAAACCAGTAGGATGTGCTAATTGCTGTGATCAGGCTACTGCTATTAGCAACTCAAGTCCATAAAAACATATTTTTCTTCTGAACATGTTCAGATTTCTTCACCTCCAATTTGGAGACTATTTTTGCAAACTTTGCCTACTAATTTCAGCCCTTAAACCCAAAAACCTCATTATACTCTAAACTCCTCATTTAGCTCATGCACAGGAGCGACTGCCATTAAAACAATTCCCATTGCACCAAAATCCTTCTAATTACATCTCACTAAGAAACTTAATGAATTTAAAGTCCTTTTGCTTTTAAACAGGAATTTTACTTTCTGTGTTTCACCATGTCTTTCTGCTAGATGAAGCCACTAAATGAACAACTGTTGCCGTAAATTAAAAGTTTTCTTCAGCATGTGACGTTGTCCTCTTCTCGGTGTTTCTGTGGAGGGTTTTCTCGTGAAAGCTTGGCCTTCTCGTGCTGAGCCACGTCCTGGCTCTGCTCAATGTTACTTCCTGTTGAAGCGTAGTTTTCCTTCCCTCCGGCTGTGTTTTCATTAACCATAAAAATTTAATTTACAAAAATAAATTTGCTTAATGGAAACACTTTAGTTCCAAAATAAAAGTCATGCTTTTTGATAAAAAGTTTTTGCGATAGGGTGAGGTGGGTTTTCTGCCGTATCAAAATCATTGTATTTCGCAAAACTGCAGTGGAAACACTTTGGTTTCGCTTGCACCACACAAGTCGTGACCTGGTGGAGGGTGACGGTTTGTTTCTGTTTTGTTTTGTTTTTTTCTAGGCCAACGTGCAGCTGGGTGCACCATTCATTAAAAGATTTGTGTCATTTGAACGTGTTTAATCCATCGCTCTTCTGTGAAATCAATGACTACAATTTCCCCAAAACTGTGCATACGTCGCCGCACCCAAGTATAAGGTTCTTACCGTTCCAACGCCTGAATAAGACTCTGATGTCTCCTCTGATTGGCTCTCATAGATAATGACGGCTAGCGCCATAACTGAATTATGGCTATTTCTGATTTAGCTGCTCACATCCATTGCTGCCATGATTTTTAATGACTTATTGCGAGAACAAGCATATTCTCGTGATTTCAATTTAATTTCTTATTTAATAGAAGCACTGCAATTGCAAAATTAAGTTTTTCGACACTAGATTTGCTCACATTTCACAGCTGCTGTCGCTGCCTGCTCAGTGTAGGATTACCGTAAAGTCGACGACACAACTTAAGCGATTGTGTGTCTCTACGTGCTCCGCCAGGAGGACTGAATGGAGCAAGTCAGTGACGCGATGCAATGTGCTGGGTATCCTTACATAAACAGAAAACTTTTAAACTAAACAATTAGAACGTATGTAATTAACTTGGAACGTGTCTGTATGAC